GTGCAGTAACCACGGCGCATTAATGAACGTGTAGATGGACCCACTGAGTGCAGAGGTTAACCATGGCGTAGACAAGTTAGCTGCGCAGTAAACTTCTCATGTCTGCACGCGCGCCCCTATTAGGATGGAGTAAGCTAATTAACTCCGCAGCAGGATAGTACTTGTATTTAATTTTTTACTTTGCAGTAGTGTATGTGTAGACACTGCCCCAGCCAGCCCCTCTGCAACACATTGAGCTGGGGGGAGCAGCCGTAGGCTGGCAGCCTCACCCCTGCCAGGGCTACTGTGTCCCAATGTGCTATGGTCCCAGGCACACATTGAAATAGCATGCTTGGGAGCACTAAACTCCAGAGCGATAAACTTCAGAATTTCTTGCTTTTCATTAATTGCACATGTAGGTGCACCCACAGAAATGCACCCTGAGGAAGGAGGACCCAGGAAACTATAGGCCAGTTAGTCTTACCTTGATCCTGGGTAAGCTTTTTGAGAGAACTATCCTGGTGCATGTCCATGAGGGGCCAGCAGGGGAGGTTATGCTTAGGGGCAGCCAACATGGGTTCCTTAGAGGCAGGTCCTATCAGACCAACCTCATGGCCTTCTATGACCAGGTCACAAAATCTTAGATGCAGGGGTAGCAGTGGACCTAGTCTTTCTGGACTTTAGGAAGGCCTTTGACATGGTCTCTCAACCCATTCTCATTAAAAAACTAGGGGACTGTGGTGTTCACACCTAAACAGTCAAATGGGTCGCTAACTGACTGGAGGGCTGCACCCAGAGAGTGGTGGTAGACGGGTCATTTTCAACCTGGAGGGATGTGAGCAGTGGGGTCCCCCAGGCCCGCACTGTTCAACATCTTTATCAGCAACTTGGACGCGGGGGTAAAAAGCACCTTGTTCAAATTCGCAGAACAACACTAAGATGTTGGGGGATGTGGGTACACTAGAAGGGAAGAATAGGCTGCAGTCAGACCTAGACAGGTTACAGGGGTGGGCGCATGAGAACAGGATGGATTTCAACACCGACAAGTGCAAGGTGCTGCACCTGGGGAGGAAGAACCAGTAGCATACCTACAGGCTGGGGAACTCCCTTCTTATCAATGCAGACAGAAAAGGATCTTGGAGTTGTTATTGATGCCAAAATGAACATGAGCCGACAGTGTGGGGACATGGTCAGGAAGGCCAACCGCACCTTGTTATGCATCCACAGATGCATCTTGAGCAGATCCAAGGAGGTGATCCTCC